GCTGTATCCAGCCCTTTCCTGAGTGGCTTTGGATGTCCTGCTGTAGCTGTCTCCTCCTTTTCCATGCCATAGCAAGAGCTTCTTTATGCTGCAGGCAGTATCTGCTGCAGAGATGCTCTGAAGACTCATAAATCACCTTGCATGGAGTAGATGTGTTTATGCAGGTGGGTTTGTTCCCCATCCAGGCTGGAATACCATGGCCAAAGGCATTGCAGGTAGGGAGTAAAGCAGCTAAAAGTGGTTGGCTTTGCATGTAAAGTCCTGCAGGTTGTTTGCTGGAGCTTTGGCTGGAGTGTCCGTGGTCAAAGAGAGAGGGAAAGCTGGGAAGGGGATGCAGGAAAAGCTGCACCTGGCTTGTGTTTAATGGCAATTTAATGGGAGGAGAGGATGAGTCCTGCTGGGAACTGGGATGTTGGCTTCATGGGAACGATGGCTGGCGGAGCACGGAGCAGCTCGGGCCTGTCCCCTCGTGTCCTGCCTCTGGGGACGGCCGAGGTGGCCAACACCACCACTCTCCTCAGCCACGTGCATCCCAGTCGCTGGCCCACCAAACCCAAACTCCCTGGAACAGCGACACGCTCCATTGCTCGTGTCCAGAGGGGAATTCTGCCAAGTGAAAGCCAGTTTTCACTGGAATACTCGGAAAATTCCTCTCCTTCCGAGAGCTGTTTTCCTAAACCACCGCAGCGTTGCTCCCCGGCTGTTTTGGCAGCAGAGCTGTTGAAGAAGAGCCGTTTCTAAGCTCTTCCCAAGCAGTTGAGGCTCAGCTTGTTTGCCTTTAGCTCCCAGATGAAAACATTTCACCCTTTCCGAGCATCAACCAGCCAAGGCAAAGAAAGAGCAAACCCCACTGGGGCTCGGCAGAGCTCGGGCTGCTTTTGGAGCGGGGGTTTCTGGTGCCCCAACGAAGGGTAGAAAGGCTTGTTCAGCTGCAAAACGGCTTCTTGCTCACTACAGACCTCACCTTTCCCAGCTCTCTTTGAGCAGCTTCGGATATTCCTTCTCCTTTCCAGTCTCCCGTGGTTTCCATCATCCTTTGCCCCCATCCACAGCTCCAGTGGTGCCGTGATGCTTTTTGGCCTCTGAGTGCTGGACGCTGTCCTGAGCTCCCTCCCCAGCTCCGGTGCAGTCGGGGGCTGAGCAAGCCCCTTGTTTGCCCTGGGGTTGATGTTTGGAGAAGGGGAAGATTTGGCTTCGCTCTGCCCAACTTTCAAAGGGGGCTTAGGAAAATATTTGGATAGGAGGGTTTTTCCTTCCCAGGAAGTTGCCTTTGAGAGCTTATTTCAAGTGGTTCCAAGTGTGCTGTGAGCTTTCTTTTGGGGGTTTTAAAGAGGAATTCATCTTGTCCAAGTACCTGTTAACTTGGAGTCAACAAACCCCCTGCTCTGGCGCTGTTGTTTCAGATGTCCTTGGGGCTGTTTCCTTTTCCTGGAGCTTTGTGTTCTTGGGATAAGCAGGCTTTGATTTAAAGGCAACTTTCCCATTGCTCCACGTCGGAAATCCCTCGATTGTCTCTTCTGGAGCAGCTCTTATTTGAGGGTCGTTCCAAGTGTGATGTGAAGCCACCAACACAAACCTTTCTCTGTCAGGTTTGGGATGTTAGTTTAAG